CCGTCATCGATGGCGTTCTTGACAGCCCTCAAGCCGTCTCTGATGGCATCTTTGATTTGAGTGAGCGTGTGTTTATTTGGTCCTTTGATCAACAGTGTGACGGAGCGAGGGTTGTTACATTTCTCGATGAAGGTGAACTTCTCCTCCCCCTGTGTGTAGGGAGGTTATTTCTCTAACAGGATTCAGTTGTGAACCGTGGTAAGGCTAGCAGGAACTTACAAAAAGGTTTAATAGACTAACACAGGTCATGTTAAACCATAGCTCTTCCAAAAGACCATAAAAAGCTTATTACTATTAGATTATTACAGCTCATCAATACTACATCAAAAGTCCAAACTCAAGTGTGAGTGGATATTCCTCCTGAGGATGGAATCCCCAGGGAGGGCACACTTACCAAGGTGTACTCATAGACGAGGCCCGCGTGCCCCAGGCAGTCTGGATTCAGGTCATCTAAAGAATTGAGAGCCACCCCACCACAGGCAAGCGTCAGTCTGAAATCGTCAAGTTTTAAGCAATGTTAGCAGTTCACTTCCCAGAGTTTCAAAACCTTGTATTTTAGAATGACAGATTAAAATCATTTCCACAAAGTCCTAAGCTCATCGCCAAGGGAAGCCAGACCACTCCAACGGAAACCTGCTCTCCTGCACTCACTTATCCCACCCTCCTGAGAACCACACCCTAGTAACTGGATGCCCACAGCACCGACGGTGATCAAGTGACTCAGAGGCAACATCACCATGAAACCCATGGTAGTGACCTCCTCAGAAGGTATTACTCTAAACTACTGGACATGCACAAACTGAGACTTGTACACAGTACACCAATGTTCATAGCAGCATTATTCAAATCGCAAAAACATGAAACAGCCAAAATGTCCAACCACAATCGAATGGATGGAGAAATTATGGTACATTCACACAATGGAATACTATGCAGCATGCAGGAGCAATGATTTTGTAAACTATTACCTAATTTTGGAGGGACTAGAGAGCATTATGCATTATCCACAAAGATAAATATTGTATAACACCATTATTGAGCAAAAGGATCCAAGAGGGGTGGGAGAGGGTGGAAACAGGGATGAAGATGTGAGGGGGAAGGGGGATTAATCATGGGGTTGTACAATTTGATGGGGGCGGGGTAGGGGAAATTGCAAGAATTTGTTCTTAAAAACAATATATTCAAGGGGAGCTCTGGTGGCCTAGTGGCAAGAAACTGTACTGCAATCCCAGAGGTACACAGTTCAAATCCACCAGATGCTCTGCCGGAGAAGGAGGGACAATTTCCTCCTATACCAGTCAGATCTGATTTGACGGTACATGCACAAAAAAAAAACCCCAACAAACAAACAAAAAACCCCAAACCCAACCGAAACAATATATTCTAATTTTGTAAATAAGCAAGTAGAAAATTTAAACAAAACAACAAACCCTACTGGACACTAATCTCCCAACTATGAAGACGTCTGCAGTGTGTGCAATTATTTACCAATTAGAAAGAGAAGGGAAAGGACAGCTATTAGTTAACCGGCAAAATCTGTTTTCTCAGGGAATCTGTTCCGCCTACCTCTCCATATTCCTCCGCTTAGCTCTGCGCAGAGCTACTATGCCTTCTTTTGCAAGAGCATCCAAGGAAAAGGGATCAATACCCTGGAAAAAGCAAAACGCTGTTTTTCAGTATCTAACACCGTCAAAAACGCTACAAAGCAGTTTATGAAACAAATTTTCACTCACTTACCTTTTGATTAATAACAACAAATCCTTTATTTGAATCACCACAGACTTTCTTTTTCAGGTCTATGATTTTTCTAACTCTATCTTCAATGAATTTCCTTTCTGCTTTTACAAGTTTTTCTCGCTCTTCTGCGCTCTTGTAGAAGAAGCCAGAATTCACTTCTCTAAATAAAAAGTGACACCATCAGAACAAATGAAGTTGTTACAGATGAATTTTGAAAAATTACGTCAACCCCAAGAGGACAAATGTTTTATGATCCAGGAGGCAGCAAATGCTTCTCAACAGAGTCCAGGTCACGGAGGGCTGGAGACCTTGCTGAAGGGGCAGTGAATTTGTACCTGGGAGGATGAAAACCTTCCGAATAAGAATCACAGTGATGATTGTGTAACAGTGAATATAATGAATACAATTCAATTGTACCCCCAAAACTGGTTAAATGGCCAATTTTTGGGCTGTTTTACCACAATAATTTTTTTTTATTGTTTTGTTTGTGTACCGTCAAACAGGATCTGACTGGTACAGGAGATTGTCCCTCCTTCTCCAGCAGAACATCTGGTAGATTTGAACCGCATACCTCTGAGATTGCAGTGCAGCTTCTTGCCACTAGGCCACCAGAGCTCCACAATAAAATTTTTAAAAAATTAAAATGGCAAAGCAGAGTGAGATGTTTAATATTTTTTGGAGTAGATTGTAACGCAGCAACGGCAGGAAGTTGGTTCATGCTGGGACTGTACTAACAGGCCTAGGTGCCAGTGTTATCTGACACATTTTCAATACTTGTGTCCAGTGATCTTCGCAAACCTCACTGTAGGATGACAGTTGACACCATGAGAAACCAAGTCTCACAGGAAGTAACCTGCGCTCCTTCACCGGGGGTCCAAGTTTACAGAGTTGCACACTCACGTTTTTTCATACTCCAATGACACATTGCAGGTAAGGATGTATGCATCTTCTACTCTCTTCTTCATATCAGGATGCCGTGCCCCGTGGTCCAAAACTAGCCCTCGGATTAAGCTGTTTAAAATATAGTTTTAAAAAGTTTCGTTGTTTAACACCGTATTGTACTGTACCGCTAATTTACAATCAGCTTTACTCAGAGAAATTACCTAAACAAAAACTTGGCAGGTTCACCAAGAACTATGAAAATGTCTGAAATTTGAAAACGCAGTATATTCCAGAATATGACCCAAAAATTAAAGCAATGAAAGCAAATAAAATAACCACCTCCCTCAGACTGAAAAGTGTACAGTAAAACTCCTAACCAGTAACCATCTTCACAAAAACTACATTCAAACTACGTCCTTAAAAAATATTCTTTTTTAAAAATTTTTTT